GCAATCCACCATGCACATATTATAAAAATTTCTACTAGTTGTTTAATCTCAAATCACTTGGGAGGATTATATTATATTGTTATATAGCTTTTATTGTATTTATGTTTTAAGAGCTCACATAAAGTTGTGGAACCATATGGATATGTTTTGATAGTGCTTAATAAATAATAATTTAAATTTTTCAGATATTATTAAATAAAATATATTATATTATAATTAATTTCATATTTGATTAAATATTTTAAATTAAATTATTTAAATATATTATAATTTGAATTGGCCGATTTTTAAAAATCGGGATCGATTCAATGGTTGGCCGGTTGAACCAACAATTCAAACAAGTTATCACTGGTTTGATGCTGCACCGGTTTTTCATAAGGACCGAATCAGCCACATGACCAGTTCGCGGTTGAACCGGTTAAAACGATTGATCAGGTCCAATTTTCAAAACCATAATAAATAAAGGCTCTTTAACCCTGAAATTTATATTTGGAGAGATTAGAAGCATAACTAGAGAAAGCCTCTAGTGTCTTGTATCCTGGAATTCTTCCAGGTGGTAGCCAAATCTCCCCTCCTTCCTTCCCGTGGCCAATCAGCCACCTGCCAGTTGCAATCAGGCAGTTTTCTATCATTCCTCTGTCATCGTCCATCCTTCCAGGAAGACCTAGTTGTTGTTGTTCTTCTGCCTAAGGTTTTTAAAACCAAACTGGTCGATTCAACCAGTTGAACCGTGCACCGGCCAGTCGGCTGAATCAGTTTATTCCCAGAACCAAGATAGCAGAAAATCGTGATAAAACCAGTTGGCCCGGCGATCGGACCACGAAACCGACGACAATTTTCAAAAACCATTCGGCTGTGTTAAAACAAAATATCATCAATGGAAATTAGATCAAGTGGTATTTGAGGGAAAAAATAGGATAGTAAAAACCTAATATTCCTATTCCTATCTTGTTCGTCTGCATTTCGTTCGCGTAAATAGTCTTGTTCCGACATTCCGTTCATATCGTCTCGACATCCTTCACGAACTCGACGAGCGGCTACAACCATGCCGACGTTATTCCTTTTCGGCATCACACTCCCTTCTCCTATTTGTTTCAATATGTGGGATGTAAGATTTTGGAAACTAATTTTTCTAGGTTTTGTTTTAGTACTTTTTTAAATATTTGAGTCGAAGAACTTTTTGCATGAGCTTTTTAAACTTGATAGTTTTCTCCTATTTTTATCGTTTTGAATTGCATTTGGCTCAACTTTAGTCTTCTGGATTTGCTTCAGAAAACCTTCCGTTTCTCTTTATCCACCTAAGCCAATTGAGATTGTATCATTATATATTAGAACACTAAAAATAAAAGGAGATTTGACACCATACCACAAAGATATTTAAGAATGTTAGGTCCATTTGGAAATATTTTATTGTTGTGTTGTCTTTATTGATGCAAATTAAAATTTTTAATATCCCCATATGAATGAATAATCTGCTTTGCCAATAGATTTTTTTCATGATATTCAATCAATAAAGCAGTCGTGCATTCTTAGTTTCCAATGAATTGTCTTTATGTTACTTTGTGATTGTGTTATCACAAAGTGTTAAAGATATATACCTAATATTCTTTATTTTACTATTTTGAGTTATCACAAAGTGTTAACATAATAATTAACCACATCACAATAAGTTATCATAGCGTTAACATGACATAATATTTATGAAAAAGAGGATTAGAGTAAGAAGTACTCTAATGTGATTTGTTGCACTTATAGTTATGAAAAAGAGGATTAAAGGATTAATTTTCTTTTCTTCATTTCATTTATAGAATTTCATCCACTAGAGGAAAGGAAACGGAGATTTCAAATAAAATTTAGAAGAGAAATTATGAAGAGGTATGTAACCCAATACCATCCTTAATTTTCAAAAATAATGTGTTACACTATTTTATATGCTTCATAATTGTTTATTTTGTCACATATTTTAATTGATTGTATCATTATTACATCAATGATATTATATTTAAATAAAATTAGTATTTATTGCATTTTCCAGTTCAATCCCGGTTCAACCTTTGAACCTTCAACCTCTCCTTCATCCGGTTCATTGGCCAGTCCAGTTTTTAGAACCATGCTTTTGCCATTCACCAAGAAAGCTGCAGCCAGCCACAAAGAACTGAAATTTTCTTCTCATTGACCCAGAAATCTGCAGCAAGATCCACCTCCAAACATCTTCAGCCTTCTAGAAGACTTGTCTTGACTAATTCTAGTTGATTAGCCTTTGTCTCTTTGTCTTTGTACTCATTATTGATGTCATTCGGACTTGCAACTAATAAATTCTAGATTATTTTCTTCTCTTCCGGATTTTTGACAGATTTACAGTGTCAATCCAGTTCAGACTTTCTCACACATTCACATTCAGAGAGCATGTTTTTCTGAAAGCAGTTTGAGGACCATCTTTTCGTTGTGTAGATAGGGTTAGCATTGTTGTGGTCCTCTCAAGAATGCTAATACATTAGGAAGCTAAATCACAGAAGTTCAGAATCCTTCATATTTTAGAATGGCTAAGCCTGGTGAGGTTAACTCAGTCAAAAATGTACCTTCAAAGTTACCATTCAATAATAACAATTGTTTTGATAAGTAAAGCTCCAGTTAATCAAAAGAAAGTTAAGAGAGACAAAAAAAAAATCACAGAAGAAAGAGTTTTTTATAAGAAAAGCATAAAAATTGGCATCAATTAGATTAATAAGGAAATCAGAAATGATAAAAGGCGCCAATTGCTCAGAAAATCATAAACTTTGTAAAAAAATATATAGAGCAGATCATATAGTATTAGAACTTAAATAAAACAGTGGAAAGCTGCATGGGTGCACAATAAGAGTAATCATCACTTACCTTTTCAATTTCAACCCAACCAGGATTTTAGCCTCAATTTATCAGAAGTAGAACCATCCCTGTAGATAAAGAAAAATAGATATGTTATCCTTATGCATCATGGACCAGATGGTTTTATATCAAAAAAGAAGAGAACAAAGTCCTGTTTCAGGTTAAGTACCTCAATGCTTCAGAGTGCAGAGAAGGCCTTTTCATGCAGTAAGAGTCCAGAAGTATCAAGAGCCCAGTACTTCATGATCTTACCAGAATCTAGATTTTCTCCACAGTAATAATGCAATCATCCTTATGTCGCACCTAAAGTTACGGCAACAACCTAGCTTCCAGATGACACAAGAAGCTCTTGAGGTGAATGAGAACCAGTTTCCCCATTCTCAATAAAACAAGAATTTTCAAAGTACATCAACCTTGGATAAAAAGAATCTGACTCATCAATGCAGACATGATCAAATCCTCCAAAAAGATGGAAATAAGTAGCTTTCATTGAGCTCATTCCATGAACATGCAAATTCTTCAACATAAAAAGGGCTAAATTAACGCGACCTAATTTAATTAAAACATGGGCAACAGCATTCACAGAAATGCAATCCATCTCAATCCCTGTGGCCATCATATCCTTCACTAGCTTCTTTGTTCCATCCCAATCTCTACTCTTACATAAGCCACAAAGCATCACATTGTATGTATAAATATTAGGGTCTGGACCAAAATGCTTCATCTTTTCAAACAAAGCTCGAGCTTCTTCAAATCTACCACTTTTGGAAAGCGCATAAATAGTAATGGTATAAGAAACAACATCTATGCAATAATTCTTCAAAACAGCTTTCCGGAATAACCAAATAGCTTTGTGATATTTCCTGTTCTTGACTAGTCCATCTAGGATTGCTGAGTGGACATATGCATCAACATCAGGATTACTCATAAGAATTTCATAATATACATAAAGAGCATGCTCCGTTCTTCCTAACCTGCAGAGACTGCTCAGCAATCCAGTATAACTATAACTGTCTGGAATGAGTTCTCTATCAATCATCATATTGTATAACATCAAAGCTTCAGAGGGAAGACCAGCCTTGCAGTAACCGGCGATTAAGGAATTATAAAACACAACGTCATCTTTAAATTTTAATCCAGCTGTTAATTCAAGAAGCAAACTTATTTTTTGTGATGAAAAAAATATTTGAGCCAAAGAAGATAGAGTGTATGAATCCGGCTCCACTTTCTTCTTTCGAAGGATAAGGAAAATATCAATCGCGACATCAAATCTTCCTATCTTTAATAGATAAGAAATAAGAAAGTTGTATAAAACTAGATCAGGGTGGCAATCATTAGAATGCATAACATTTAAGATACATGGCACCTCCCCAAGCATTTGAGCTTCGCAAAGCCCTTTGATAAAAGACGTATAGGTGACAACAGTATGTGGGCAACCAGCTTCTGCCATCTTCCTCAAATGCTCACATGCCATCTCAACTTTTCCAGTCCGGCAGAAAGAATCAATCAAAATTGTCCATATGGTCACCGAAACATGCCTCCCTAGAACTACCAGTAAAGCTAACAACTGCAGCAACTCCACATGTCTTCCGGCCTTGCAGAAACAATCCAGGGCCATTACAAAGGTCCCCTCGTTGAGGGAAAAGTCTCTCCCAACCATTTCTCTCAACAAACCCCGAACACTGATCCAATCACCTAACTTACAAAAATTGCGAAGAACTATATTAAAAGTGAGAAAATTTGGGAACTTGGTTTCTCTATAAATTCCCATTGCTTCATCGAACTTCCCACTCTTGAACTGTATGTCGAGAACTATGTTCCTGATATAAGTGTTGGGTTCGTAGTTTCGTCTGCACATTTCCTCGAACACTTCAAGTGCAAACCTAAACTTTTTAGCTCGCCAGTAAATCCTAAGCAATACCAAGAAAGTTTGCGCCTTTATGGAACAACCGAGACACTCGAGATGCCGGACGATGTTATTCACGAAACCGAACCTTAAGGAGAGGCGGACGATGGCGGGAATTATCTTATCGAAGGAGCTGGGAGCGTGGAAGTAATTGCGCTGGTGAGCGGCCCAAAGGAAAAAGCTGAGCGCGATTGCGTCCGAGGGGCAATTGGAGACCGTTGTATCAACTATCTCAGGGCTAAGACGGAGCTGAGAGCAACGGAGGGTTGCAGACCCCGGATTTTTGTTTGAATTGCGCGACGGTTTAGTCCTACTCGAGCTTGCATGGAGGAGTCTCCTCCATCTCACAAGCATTTAGGGTTTACCGGTTTAGGGCTTAGGAGCTCAAAGGGCATCATTGCAGGAACGGATCAAGTCGTGCTGCGGCCTTGCAGAGTAGATATTCAAGTGCACTGTATTAATATTTTCTTAAATTATGTAATATTTTAATATAAATTATATATAATTATGTACTTTAAAATTATTTTAAAAATAAATTATTTAATTGAAAGTGATATCTTAATCATTTATAAATAACAAACATAAGACTACTGATAAGTCACAAAACTTCGCCTAGATCGGGCACGAATCTTCTTGCAAATATGAATAAAAAATTTCTAAAATTAAAGTTTGGATCATCCAAACTACTATTTCACCAAGCTTATAGTCAAATTGCACATCTCAAGGAGACGAACCCAATGACACCAAATTTAGCCCAATCCGAGCCCAAATTGAAGGACTAGAGCCTACTTGAAAGCTTCAGAGTAGTAATTGAAAGACCAATCGGTATCCAAATATGACATACTTCTAATCGAATCGAGTGGCTCAATGAGTCTAATATCACTCAATTATGACATCTTTAAGGCACTTAAATGCTTGATAAATATTCAATGATCAATGATCAAGGGAGGTAATACTAGCTATACGATGGAACACTCCCAACATGTCATTGATCTTCTCCATATTTAATAGTCATGTCACTCCCAAAAAATTATAAAAAGATCATCATTCTTCACATGAGGAGATGAAAAAGGAAGGAGAAAATTTTGGGAGTTCTCTTGCCACGGACAACCGCTTAATCTCTTCCCGTCCATCAATCGTCATTGGACTTTCGTTTGTTATTTGGCTGTCGTCGGAATAGATTTCCACATATTTGTTGGCCATTACCAGATTTCTTTCCAATAACCAACCCTCTCATCGGACTTCCGCCCGTCTGCTGATTATCATAAAGTCTCCAACCATCACTAGAAATTTGTTGAATATTATATGTTATTCAATCAAAACCAAGAGTACTCGTCTGTAGTTTAGTAAACTTTTCAAGATATTGTATTATTCATGTCCTTGAGTCAAAGTACGGGTTGACTTTTGTAATCTATTCAAACATTAGTAGAATCGTTTCAACTAGGCAAGGCCCCGTGATTTTTTCCTTTTTAGGATTTTTCACATAAAAATTCTAGTATTTCTTTATCATCTCAATTATATGTATGTGTGTTGAATTTTAATGTATCGCTATGATGTAAAATCTTTTCACTCTACCGCCATGAATTGCTCAGCCCACAACAATTACAAAGAGAAATTACTAAGGTTTTGTTCATAACAACTTTTTTATTATTTTCTAAAATAATTTTTTAGTACAAAAATTTCAAGCTCAGGAATTTTTTTAACTAAAAAATATTTTAAAAACCAATAAGAAAGTTGTGTCAAACGAAGTCTAAGTTTATTGGATACATACTATTCAATCACTTAATCATTTTGATGAATTATGAATGTAATATTTTGATGAGGACAATGTTCAGAGATTCAGACACGTGTACCGGCAACGGAATCGTAGATCGACAGCTACGATTCAGCGTATCTACTTTTGATGCATTATGTTTTATTTAGTTTTGTTCAACCTGACGCCAAGCCCATCTCCTCCCTCCTTGACCGCCGACCCCATTCTTATCTCAAGTCATTATGATGATTTCAATCATCATAATGACTCCCTAAATTGGCTCGTGCAATAAAGGAAGGAGTTAAATTATTTAGATATTCAATTTTGGATTTCAAAACCTTTTCATATTTACAAATTCTAAATAAGGAAAGTTTTCAAATTTGAATCCAATCTAAATTTAATTTAAAGAGGATTTATTATTTTCCCTCCTGATTGATTGCCTTAGCTTGTTTGGAAAACACTTAATTCCTCCATAATCCCCTCACCCCTCTCTCTTCATAACGTCGGCCCCATCAATGGGGATTTCCCCTTTGCTTCCTAATGAGGCCCCATCCCTATTTAATTTGAATTCAAATTTCAAATTAAATCCCTCCAATTTTACTTAAAAATATGAAATTAATTTCATATTTGGATTAAAACTTCCCTCCCCTCTTCAACCTAACCTAAGTCCTCTCATCTAAGCCGCCCCTCTCTTCTCACCACCTTTGCGCCCCCCCAACCACCACCACTTGAGAAACCCTAGTTTGCTCATAAAACTTGAAACCAAGAGAAGAAGACAAACTCCTCCCTCAATATCATCGTTGGTGAATGGTCAATCCTGAGATTGACCACGGATTTGTTTTCGACGGGCAAGGACGGGCAAATATTCATGGATCCCCATTCTTTGATGTGTACTTTGGCAACGACGAGACTGTCGATGGATACATCGACCGCATCCTATATCAACTAACACTATCAATAGAGGAGCACATCCGTCTGGGCTGTTGGATAGTTGTTGGTCATCCACAACTTCCTCCACCATCGACTACCTCTCCATCAACAAAGGTCCTCGACACCATCTTCGTAGTGGTAATATCTTTCCTCGTATGGTTTGTCCTCCTCCGCTAAAGCTTAAGAGTGATTGAGTGAAAAGGAACTCATTGTGACCATATATTGATGTTACGCCATGGATTCTTGTTTATTTGCTATTAACCTTACTATCTTGTTCGTGTAGTTATTGTGATTGTCTCGCTAATCTACTTGTAACTTTCGCCATCACTTAATCACTTAATGAAAATTCTACGAATTTGACTTGAGTGAAATAGAAGTTCTTAACTAGCAAAGTTCATGTTTAATATTTATTGTTAAAACCTAAGCAACTCTTGTCGCATGTATGTTTCACATCATATTTCCTTTAAACAATTAAAAGCAGTCTAAATTAAACAAATCAAAAAAATATTTAAAATAGTATTATATGCATTTAAATATTATTAAAATAAAATTATAAAGTAATAAAATAATTATGATTTTATATGATTAACATATAGAATTAATATTGACTAAATTTATATTATAAAATAAATTATAATTTATAGAGAATATTAAATTTAATCACAGAAATAAAAAATGATAAAATGTGATAAACAGTAGGGGAAATGGAATTACTAATAAAAATAAAAAAGAAAAGAATGATTTTTAAGGGATTTTTATATACTCATAATGCTTGACCTCTCATTTCCAAAAACATATAGGCTCTATTAAAACTTATAGATACAATATATTTCTAATTGAAGAGTTGTAATAAGATTATTACATGGAAACGTACTTTTATTTTGATGGAGAAATCTCTTCCATTCAAAAGCATTGGCTCGAACAAGAAAATAACAAAAACATTTAACAATTAGTCATAAATCTTGATGTAATATTTAAATTAAAAATTATTGAAATTAAATTTAGGATTATTTGGACTCCAATTTTAGCAGAATTATATTCAAAACAAATGGTTTGAAGAAAGGAGTATAAGTTTATCAAAAGTGTTTCAATCTAAGTCCAAATGTGTCCGAATCAAGCACTTGAAGTAGAGTTGAAAATTTTGTGACATTGACTAAAAGACTAAATGATCTATGAATCTCATGTAGTTATATTCAAAATGAGCATCTTATTGAGAGGAATTCAACCAGCCCAAGATCACTCAATTTTGAGGTCAACAAAATGCTAAGAAAATATGATCAAGAGAATTAATACATCCATTTAAAATAGTGTTTAATTGATTTTGACTAAATTTATCAAAAAAACTATAAATCTGCCCATTCTTCACATGAATGGGAGGAAGACCATGAACTGATTCTTAAGATAGCTTAAAGATCTAGAACCTCCAAAGCTCTATCTGACAATCGATGCTAATGACAACTGCCAGTTATCGTTATCTAGGCAAACGACTTGGTGAGAGCATCTACAATAATGGAAACATTGAATGTTGCATTTCTTTGGTGGTTTGCATTGAGACGACAGTTGGTGGGTTGGATGACATAGACACCAACACCAAGCACATATTGGCAATTTGGATGGTTGAATGATTTTTCAAAGGCAACAGTTGGGCAAAAATCCGACAGCGATGCTCGTAAGGTGGTCTAACAATGGGTGATGGACAATAAATGGTCAAATTGTGACAATTGAGTGGTGGTCTGATGGTGTTGGTTAAGAGGAGCTAAGGGATTCCTTAAACTTTTGAGCTCTCTCTAATCTTCAATCTCAACACTCCATTCATGTAGAGAGCGAGGGTTTAATTATATTTTTTTTTTTGAAGTGACAACCTTCATAAAAATAGCTAGAATAAAAAGCACTCCACTAAATTACCTATATTGATTCCCCTGTTCATAGGATATTTTTTATCATTCAAGTATCATAATGATGTCAGAATTTAGCAATCTTAGGCTCATTAGATTTATCTCTTCGAGATACTCGATTTGATTATAAGCATGCAAAATTTGAAGATTATTTTGTCCCTCAATTAATGTTATGAAGCTTTTAAATATGCTTCATGTGATGGCTCATTGTGTCACGACCCAACCCGACCGGGACGGATCCCGCTCGCATCGGGCCACGATGGAACTTTCTAAAATCCATGATCTAGTTTTGGAATTTGCTTCATAACTTTCTTCCAAGTATTAAACAGACAAAAAAACACAGAGCTACTATAAACATCCGAATGCAGAAATGGTTCATCTATCTTTTCTTTCCTCAAAATAAACATATACAATACAGTCCATGGCTTCAGACAAAAAGAACAGAACAGAAAAGCCATGAATGCACAAAAATCAAAAGTATCAAGTACCTAATCACAAATCATACTTAGAACGTCTAGTCCAAGACCTCCTTCCCTTTCCCAGAACCTGAAAACCACGCAGAAAGCAAGAATGAGCTAACTGCTCAGCAAGACATCACTCACCAATCCAAATCATCAGAAATTCATATCAGAAAATATCCGTACATAAATCATAAAACAGACAGAACAGATACTTGATCAATCAGAATTTAGCTTACAGATACAGAAAATTGAAGTCATTTCAAATCAGAATTCAGAACAGATATTATAAAGCTTTCATGTCATAGAGCAGACATAATCGTACGGAATAACCAGAATCGTACAGAAATAAAACAGATCAGATAAGTCACAGAACAGATTATCAGATATCAAACATCAGATTCCCTGACCCTGATAGAATCTCAACAGATTCTGACACCTTATGCCTCCCTTCCCAGACACTGACAGAATCTCAACGGATTTTGGCCCATTATGCCTCCCTTTGTGCTTATAGCACCAGAATAGAACAGAACAGATATTCGAAATTCCGGAACATAACTTATTTTTAGATTTCAGAGCTTATTTCAGATTTTCAGATTTTTCGGACCCAGACATTGGAATCACAAAGGATTCCGGCCCCTTATAGTCCCTTTTTATAGCATACAAACACTTCAATTCATTCAATGTATCAATTCAAAAAAATCAGAATTCGTACTAAAATTCAGCGGCATAGCAGCAGTATACGGAATTTACACAAAATTCACAGATTCAGAAATTTACCAAATTACCACAGAACATTCACAACAACATTGTAAGACTTTCACTATACTGACAAAATATTTTTCAACATCCAGATAAATTGCAGTTCAATTAAAACACCGCAGAATTCAAAATATCCGATAAAAATCTTCCAAAAAAATACTCAAAACGTGCACAATTATCATCTCAGAGACATACCAAAAGTTGCGCGGTAAAACCTTTGTCAGAAGAAAATAATACCAGAAAAACGCTAACGGAATAAAATCCGGAACAGAAAAGTCGTCAAAATCCACATTTCTGAAAATTGAGAAAGGCGGAATGTGCCTTACCTCGAGTCGGTCAACTTCTCTAACTACAGCAACGAACGGAAACGGACCGGAGTCGCCCAAAAATCCTATTTTCTTTCTTTTCCTTCGTTTTTCTCTCTCCTGGACGTCCTTTTTCTTTCCAAAAAATCTCATTCCAATATATATCCAGATTGATCGTCCCGGACGATCGCAACTTCATCCCGGGACGATTTGGGCTCTGGACGAATTTCGTCCAGACGAAATTAATTAGCATCCCTAACGACTTTCCCTCTGAAAAAATTTCGTCCAGACGATCCAAATTTCGTCCAGACGAACCATGCAGCCAGAAACGTTTTCCTGCACAACCTGTACCGATCGTCCCGGACGATCCAACTTCGTCCGGACGAACCTGGGAGCAAAATGGTCTTTACACATTGGAACTTAAATATGATCACTTTTGATAAAGTTTGTTGATGACTTCTAAACTTGAATTTGAATGCTTTTAATTTTAATTTGCGCCAAGATTTGTGCTGGAGCAAGTGGATTTTTTAGTGATGCATCAATAGAGAGATGGGGGAGAGTGTGTGAGGAATAAATTTGTGCATGTCACTTTTTGCACAACCTTTAAAGTGGGCAGAAATTTCAAATCCAAAGTTTTTTTTTTTTAATGAAAAAAAAATATTTGTTTTCATGGTCTTATGCAAATAAATGCTTGGAAGGCAACAATCATAGATGCTCTTTAGATGATGATAACCTCCTTAGAATCTTTGCATCAATTATTATAGTTACGACAATGATCTTCATTCTTCAAGATTAGTTTTAGGCTTCGTTTGATTCGGTTTATGCTTATATAAAAAGGAGTTTTAGAAAAGGAGGTTGAGAAAAAGCTGTTCAATAAAATGGAGTTTTAATAATGATATATGTTTGACTAATATTTTTAAAAGTGCTTATTAATACTTGAAAGTAATTTTAAATTGTTTGTTTAGGAGTTCTGCTTTTGAGATTTTATTATTTAATACTTGAAAGTAATTTAAAATCAGTAATTTGCTTCCGAAACTCCGTTTTGTGACCGAAGAAGCAGATATGAAAAGAATTTTGTAACCGCCGAAAAAACGATGTTTATTAAAAATGAATTATTGTTAAGCTTTGATTCCAGACAGTAAATACTAATTGATTTCGGCGTATTCAAACGGAAACGGAGGAAAAAAACCTTATCAAACGAGGCCTTAATCGGAAACAAGTTGGGTGTAATTTTCACCTTTATGATTATTATAAAATCTATGCCTCGCGGGGACTTTCAACGTACATTTATCGGGATTTTTGATATGTGCTTTATGTTATGCACATGTAAATTTGATTTTATGAGCCCTATAATATGGAGAAATGTCTTTATTATTTTTTCTTGGAGAAATATGATTAAAATTTTATTTTAGACAAAGTTAAGCTCAATGAAGAATAATTGACTGCTCAATGGACTCTAAGTTATTCGAAATTGGTTCGACCCAATTTGAATTTAAGCCTTATTTGAATCTAGTTCGAACCTCTCTACAAATCTCAATTTAAACCTCGATTCAAACTTTTATTTATTTATTTACTTATTTGGAGAATTAAGGGATAGTGCCCAAACTCTCACACACACACAACACACACACTATTGGAACCTAAGACTTCTTGGTTGGTTGAAACCTCAATTCGAACTTGGATGCAAACTTCCCTTCAAACTAGGTTTGAAATTGGTTTGAAATGCTAACTCGCCTTTTTCCTTATCATCTATGTAGCATCATTAGGGGGATGGAAACGGCTCTACGTGGAGTTCACAACTAGATATATTTGGAGCGAGAATGAAGGGAGTGGAGGCATGTGGAGGAGGTGAGTATGGTTTCACATTCATCTCTCGCTAGGGCATCGATGCTAGCAGTGGCATCTAAAGGAGAGGAGTTCGCAAATGAAGCTCTATGCGAAGGTATCATGGGCACGAAAGATGCTTGTTAGAGTTAGGGCATCTCCAACGGAGAACTCCATTTTTCAAGGCAAAATACAGCAAAACTCCAAAATGCCGTGGTTCTGCTCCAATCGAATGTCATTTTATGTGCTTCTGCGAAGGTAACGATCCTTCTCCCTTCACGTGTTTTTCCGGTTGAGATAGCAAAATAGCGTAGGTGAACAGTGCAATGCCAATATTGGCGTCGAACTGTTCACCGGCAAGTAAATGGCGAAAGATTTGGCGTTTTGCTGGAGCGACCGAACGACGTCATACGCTCGTTTGGCGTTTGGTTGGAGATGCTCTTAGGCTTTAAAGGGACTGACGCATGTGAGGAGAAGAGGATCTTGCAAATGGAGATCATTTGAAAAGGCATCCTAAGGCCAACTAGCTGGAGCTCACTAGGGAAGGCATCTCAAGATTGCGGTCATAGCAAGTATAGAACTCATTAGGGAAAGCATCATAAGATCAACGCATGAAGAGAGACCTAAACAAATGCATTATGAGGCCAACACGTTCAAAGCTCAATTTGAACAAAAGTTCAAATTCAAACCACTTTAAACTAATTTCGGTCGTGATAAATTTTAATAAGTTGTTTGGGATGATAAAACTAATTATAATGAAAAAAAACCAAAAACCATTAATGCCTCAAGTTAAATTTATCATTGAATTTTATATTCATGTCCAAATTTGTTCTGTTATGAGCATCTCATTTACTTGGATAATCAAGTATCTGATGCTCAAACTTGGGGCTGCTAGTTGATTTCAGAAGTGTTAAAACATGTTCAATTTGATCAGCAAATGATCATATATACAAGTAGCTATTGAATAGAATACAGAGTAGTTAATTGAGTGCAGCGTTTGAATCCAAATACAAAGAAGCACCAAGGTTTCATTTGGGGCAGCTTTCTTGTTTCTTAAAGCTGTTTTTAAATATAAAAATTTTAATTTTTTATTTAAAAAATTATTTTAAGAAGCAACAAAAAAAATCAACTCAAACGAAACCTAAATTTTTTTTATGGCACAATACAAGCATAAAACCTTCGCAGACAAACCTGTAATATTGTGTCTGGAACACTTAAAATCACCTGATATAATCCTGAAACTGGTATAAAAACTTTGGCCAAGTAAACAAAGTCCAATTTAATTGTCAACACTTGGCTATGGCTTAAAATCCTGCAAGCTATCAAATTTCTTCCCACTTTTAAAAGGTTTTGAACCATCAGCATATCAACAAGTTTCATTTCAAAAAAATCTGAAAGCATTTGTTATTGCTAACTTACCATCAGCAGAGTTCAACCATAGCAAAAGAAGCTCCAGTTTCTTAATAGAATTATACCCTTTTCAATCAAAAGATCTAGGATTTTCCAAAAAGAAAAACCAAGAAAGAGAGAGAGAGAGAGAGAACCGAAGTATGAATCCTCAAATCATATATAACAGGCTAATGCTAATATTTTAAGTTTACATAAGGGTTTTTAGTTCTGGAAAATAATGAAACAAATACTATATTGAAAAAAATACTGCCGTGCTACATTAGAATAAAAAAAAAAAGATCAACGTTCCGACCGTAAAAGAATGATACTCAAGTGACTCTACACTATAAAGAATTGAAAAACCTTCGGTAAATAGACAGCGAACTTGATGTAAAAATCTCCCAGAAGAGGGGGGGAATAAAGAAAGAAGTGGTTCAAAGAGATCGGTGTAGAATGTACAGCTACCTAATTCATAAATTTTTTGCAATTTGGAGCTTTGCACAGGCAGGGAACTTTGCGATCATCACTTTCATCAGGGTCAAACAAGTAGTCATAGCTGTAGCAAAAGAAAGAAAACACAGGGATGAGAGAGCAGATAATTATGCCTTGAGGAACATCGAATGATGCGTGTAAGTATGGTGAAAACAGCAAACATAATTGATATTTGCATGATTAACAGCATCCATTATTTAGGGAATTGATAAGAATTTAGACCACATAATTTCATGTATAAGAAGAATATATATATATATACTATTAAATTTTGCCAAATGGTGATAAATTATTTGACCATTTGTTTCAAAATTTAAGATTAGTGTGTGAGAAGGAAATTATTAAAACTATTAAATCTTGTAAATGGTAGGATTTAACAAATGAAAGATTTAACCAATAATTGAGTTGAAATGAGATTTATCAAAATAGGAGGATTAAAAATCAAATTTGCGTAAATCCTGGCTAATAAAAGATACCACACAACACATAATACTATGATCGTCAAAGCAGCATGAATCAATTATACTTGGCGTATGCAGTGTTATATGAAACAAACATACTTAAAGCCTATAGGTCAGGTAAAGCGAACACTCACGCAATATCACTTTGAAGATCTAAAAACATCCTACCCACTCTACACTCTACAGTCTACCCCCACCCTTCGTGGCTTTGTGAAAATTTGATGGAAGAGATATGCAAAATAGTCTTTTCACATTTGGGTGTTATTTTACTTGGTTCATTTCCTTACTAGTTTGGTGATGATTTAGGCTTCGTTTGGGACAACTTTTTTTACTGCTTCTTAAAGCAGCTTTCGAGTACAAAAAAAATTATTTTTGTACTGAAAAGCTGCTTTAAGAAGCAATAAAAAAGCAATACCAAACGAACCTTAATTTGCATGCTTTCCAAACAATCACTTAAGCTATTTAAATCAATTGGTGTTTATATATCATTATGGGCACTCCATACTAGAATTAATTTGGTAAAGACAGCCACCGGTGTCAACAAAAGTTTATGAAAAAGTGCTCTCTGGTAAAAAGAGTATTTGATGGAAAGTGTGAGATTTGGAAGGCGAAAGGTCTTACGTTAGCTCATGGCCGGCAGAAACAGTTGTTTTGGCAATGAGAACAATCCTGCTCTCACCATCACCAACACTCATAATTCTTGCATAGCAGTTGGGCATGCACTGCATTGAGATTCATATATTTATCAGATAACTACACAAGGTTTTCGAATAGCTGGAGAGGAAGTAATCTAAAGAAAGAAAGACTGAATCTTACAGAGTGATTAATCAAGCGTGCTATGTTTCCTCTGTTTGTAGCATCGATAACTACTTCATCACTGATCTTAAAAAGCTGCAAAAAAAAAAAAAAAAACTTGAAGCTGAAAAACAAAAAAAAAGCATCTAAGCCAAAGTGGTCAACATAAACACCCACATGCAATACAAACTTAATGCATTTATATTTAGTATACCCGCATAAAAGATTATATGCATTGCATTCGTCCAACGTAAGTGCCTAAGAAATTTACTGGATATTGGTGAAGAATTTGTCAGTATTTGAGCATGAAAAAGACTTCTAATCTGTTTCTACGGATTTTCAACGTCTCAGAAAGGTTATTGAAGAATAATATTTAAAATTAGGCTATCAGTTTGAAATTATCAGGTAGAGACGGCCCAAGTAAAAAAAAAGTTCAATAAGAAGCATAAGCCTTGAAGACGTAACATCCTCCAAGGCTCTCTACTCGTGCTCATGGATCTCTCTTCCTCTGACACCGACTCCACAATGTTTTATCCAGTTCTTCAATGGAGGTATTTGTTCCTTCAACATTTGCAATTTTGACTCTGCCTAGTACACTTTCGAGCTCTTTGCCTAGTATAATTGGGTCACCCTTGATAGCCGGTGTTGATATTCCTTGCATTATAGACTTTGCTCCTACTCCCATCTTAGTGTTTATTTCAATCAACACCTTTGCATATTTGATGCAATCAAATGTTACTATTGCTCTATCTCTGCATCTGATGAGGAGATCAGAAGATCTACGGCTACGATCTAGAGTTTATTCATTATTATTTTTTTTATGTGCTTTATGTACTAGTTTATTTGATATTTCTATTTTCCCATTGTACACTTATGAGGGGAGTTTAGTGAGTTGTGGCCAGGAGGGCATGTTAGTCTTTTGAGTTTTCTTATTTGTGGAGGCCTATATACAGAGGCCTTAGGCTTTGTATTGGGATGATGATTAATATGAAATTTTCAGCTTGTGCTTATGGATCTCTTTGTGAGTTCTAAGTTTTCTCTCTTTGGATGATCTCTTAGTGAGTTCGTGAGATGAGAGGCCCAAGTGGGGCAAAAGCAATACCCGTCAATCTTGGTGGATTCTAAGGTTCGCGGTTCTCTTATCTTTCTTTTTCTTTTATTTTTCTTCTTGCATCAAATTCCCTCCCCACCCGTCTACTTCCATAGCTTCCACCGCCGGCCATTCTCACCACCCCAATTCTCTCCCAAATTCCTCCACCTCAAGCCCCTGTTTCCCCCAACCCGCCGGCTACCTTGGCCTACCCAGTCGCCGGCCACTCCTCCCAAAGCCACCATCTCCACCACAGCTCGTCCCCATCTCCACCCCCATGCCGCCGGCCACCTCTCCCTCTCCATAGAATTTGAAATTCAAATTTCTAAGCCCATAAATACTTTCCTAAAATAATCCTCCCAATTAGGAAGGTTTATTAATTTGAATTCAATCCAATATTTGTATTCAAATAATTCCCTCCCTAATAAATTTCAATTAGGAAACCTCTCTAAAATTAATCAAATTTGAAATTAATTTCAGATTTGATTTCAATCAACAATCAATTCTCTTGGCCCACATACATCGAACCTAGACACCTTTGCCCCCTTCATGTGGGCGTCCCCCCCTCCCCTCTTCCCTTGATTTTACTTCTTTCCAAATTTGGGTGCCCCCTTCATGTGGGCGTCCCCCCCTCCCCTCTTCCCTTGATTTTACTTCTTTCCAAATTTGGGTTTAGGAGTTTGAGGGGGAAATCATTCAAATTATGAATTCAAACTTTAGATTTGAAACCTTTCCTATTTGGCATGATTCATAATTGGAAAGTTTTAACTCTTCAATTCAAAATTTAAAATTAAATTAAAAGGAGTTATTAGTCATCAATTCCTCATAATTTAATTGGCATCAATTAGGAAACTAATTAAAAACTCCCATGACTTTGAATTCAAATTTCAAATCCTAGTCTCTCTTGCTCAAATCTGAAAAGGGAATTCCGTAACTGCTGTCCAAGAAGTGCATCCCGTCAACCTAGCTGTCCTGCTTCTCCAAGTGGTGTTCCTGGCTGTCCACGTGATTACTACCTTGACCCTCCAAGCCCTGACCAGTCAGAAGGAGGAAACCACTGAATTCCTCAACTCCAGGTTGCTATCAAGGTTCCTGGACCGGTTTGATCTGCTGTCCTGAATTTTGGGACATTGAAAACCGCTGTCCATCAATTCCAGCTGAGGGAGATCAACAGTTTTGCTGCTGGCAATCCTCCAATTGCTGTCCAGAAGAATTCCAGCAGCAGAAACAGCTGTTCTGCTGCCCAGAAGTCCTCCCGCTGCCGCCCCACTTCTCCAAATAGGATCCAGATCCCTGTCCAAAGAAAATTCGGTCACAAGAGACGATTGCCAGCTTGGGAAAACCTTCTATGTGCTGCTCCAAGTCCCAAACCAGGATTCGGTGAACTCTCTTCCTTTATTCTTTTATTCTCCTAGTTGCATCCAATTGTGGAATTAATTGATTCACTGGAATTGTTTTAGTCTTATCCGCTAAAGCCTAGCAAGATAAAGAGTTGAGTGAGGGACCCTTGCTTAGTGACTAATCTTATTGTTAGCATTGGAATTTATTGTTGAAAACCAGTTATGTATGCAACGTTAGATTAAGTTGGCTTCTAACGTTGGCTATTATACGATCTTAACTCCTATGCATGTGGTTTAGCCTAAGCTTGTCTTACCGCTCTTTGTGTTTTATTGTGTCGTTTAAAATCAATATAAAGATATAATTATTATGGCTTCTAACACTTAAGCGTGCAAACTCTTCAAGTAATTCAACTTTGCATGATCGTTCTACATCAGCATCAGCCTTCAACTCCTCCAAATAGTGTTGTTGCTAGGGTTTCCAGTAGACCACTTGTAGCAGTGTTGTAATATCAAGGCCCGGATGTTGTTTCTGGTGTTTGCATTACTCGGGGAGTTGGGTTTATCTTAAAGCTTCGAGTAATTATTTTGTTCATGTGGTTCAAAACCAGAAGTATTGACAACACTAAGCCCCCAAGACCAGAGGATTAAGAACATTAAGCCCTCTAATCATCCCACAACACAGTGAGTCGATCTAAATTTTGCTCACTACAACACTGAAGCAACCCCTTCATCTTATTTCAAAGTAAACACACTCGTTATTCCACAAGATACATTCAATCAGCTTGTTGAACCACTAAATTTTTTTGTGGGAAAGTTCAAATATGGGCACCCACACTTTCAACCAGCAGAATCTTCTAAGAGAGCCGTACTTTAATTGAGGATATTTCTACCTCATTACTTAAATGAGGCATGTTTTTATTAAACTCTCAATGTATGGAAGATTACACTACATTATTTCCTACAGATCCATCCTCATTGAGAGTTTTCTAATAAAGATACTTAAATGCTTTCCAAATTTTGACTTAACCAACAAATCTCTTACTGTCCTGATTTGGATAGCATTTTCCTATCCAGAGTTCATCATTTTGACAAATTGATTATGCTTTATATGGTTTTATTTTGATAATCCAATGCGTGTGGATGTCCCCATGACATCTAGCACCCCATCCTTACAAGTCTCTCCCCAATACCAATATTGTACTTGTTGTTGCACATGCAACTATATTTTGGTGAATGCAAATTCATTGTAAGTCATTTAATTGTAATATTGTTTAAGGAATAAAGGAGTGACCCAATATTGTATGATTAAGACTATGCTTGCTTGCATGTGTTGATGGGATAATGAATTCTTAGAGAGGTTTAGAAGACCAAATCAGTAGGACTTTGTTAAATGCTAATAAAATATATCTTTTCTCACGTCATATGTTCTCTAATTTACACCTTTCTAGAAATAATTAGATATTTACAACATTTATTTATTACCAGCTTATGCGCATTATTTTATTTCCTTTCCGAACATAAAGCATTAGACTCATAGGATACTTTTAAAAGATAAAATCAATCCCTATTTTATTAATAAATGCGGCCTATAGCCATTTTTTTAATAAAGTTTTAAAAACAAATACCATTGGTATGTTTGTAGCTTGGGCAAAGAAATGCGTTAGCCAATCAATGGCACGGGTGGTGGTGTAAGTTGATGTAACTGTAGTTTTTGAGGAGAATATATGGATTGGTACTTTGGAAAATGGTTATTGAGAGAATACTGTTTTTGAGAGGGTTCCATTCTATTGTAAATGTTTTATCTCCTTTGTTACAACATATCTTCTTACAGGAAGTACTCACATGTAGGTTGATCATAATAGCTCATCATTTGATAAGGAGCAGTTCTTCAACTCTAGATATTTTTCTATGATTTATCAAGGAGCTCTTATCATAAAAGCACTAATATATTCCTCTCTTCTAAACGCTCGACCTTTTCCTCAAATTATTAAAGAGATATCTACTCAATAGATAACGATAGTTGCTCCATCATAAGGTAATACATATATTGACGAAAAATAATTTGAATCTATCCTGAATTACGTTACACCATCATCAAGCAGCAAGATGTAGGTTTTAATCCTCCAAGAAAATTTGTTGATTTTATCAAATCTAAGAATGATGAACCACTTGATAATGATGCTTTCTTTTTTATCTCCTGGCCACAAGCATCGTGGATGGGATAATACATCAAAAGTCCTAGATAAACAATATCCTTTGTAGAAAATTTTATTAAATATGATCCATCTGAATGGGCGACTGATTATGGCAAGTAATGGTGTCTCCCTTTGTTTGCTCTGGAGACTCCTTTTTCCTGTCATATATGTTTTCTCTTTGATTGAAATTTACTACTAGATCCTTTTATTTACTTAGTGGGTCCTTAATCCTTTGACACTCACATTGTCTATTTCCAGTAATCTCAAATTGATTAATATGTTTCCATTGCTTTAAAAAATATATATAAGATATTGATAAGTCTGCTGCTTTTGAGCTTCCTGCAGAATGGACATAGTTCAATTTAAGAGCATACTTGTGAAGTGGATGAAATGATCATGTCACCAGGAGAGTCGTTAATTCAGAACTCTCAATCAGCAATATTTTGATGGATGACTGAACATGGTAATGGCTATCCTGTACGAAGGAATATTAAAATCAAGCTAAACATGAAAGAAGACTTACATAACAATCTTTTCCTTCCAAACGGTACCGGGTCTCCCTCAAGTCAGCAACGCTACGTCTGACCTGCTCACCCCGATATTCCAGTATCTGGAAAGAGTAAACAAAGCTTCTCTGAGAGTAATATAAAGGATATTTCTCCACTCCATTCCAATAGCACCTATTAAACTATAACAAAACTGCTTCCTTTACAATTAATTTTCTGAAGCATATACCCACAAGAAGATTCAGCATAACATATTAAGCATAGGATGATATTGGACGAAAGCCTACATGTAAGTGATCCTTTCAACTTCATTACGATAAATTTAAGCATAAACCAAGTGAAAAATATGATATCTATTATCTATAGATATAAGGTGGAGCGGTTTCAGACCTTATCAATGACTTGAGCACAATTCTTGAAAAAGTGAACTTTATAGAAAAGATAAGTTACAAGAAAGCAACAGTATCAACGTTTCAATCAAGGACTTAGAGAACAGGAGTATGCAGAAATACATCATTCATTTCGATATATAAGTGGCAAAAAATGCTTTTAGAGAGAGAGAGAGAGAGAGAGAGAGACATTTACATTGATTCTACTATATTAAATTTCCTGTTTATGTAACCAATAAAAAAAGCCATGCAAACCCAAGATTACATGAGATAGCTGTTTTGAAATCGAATAACATGTTAGCTCTTAACACCCTGCTGAGTTTTCCAATTAAAATAAGTTTTACATTTATTAATAAACAACCTTACCTTAAGATTAAACAAATTTTTGCAAACAAATTAGGCCATCGTGATGCTAAGCACTATGTAAGTGTGAAAGAGCAATACGTTGAAGAAAAATTTTCATTGTTGGGTAGCATGTTATCAATACTTCCTTCCAAGGATGTAAAATGGTAAAAAGGCTCCCTAAACATATAGCAAGCCAACAAAAAACTATATATATATATATATATATATATAGGCCCCGGCCTCTGCTCGCTGCTTTTCCTCAGAGGGAGTTTTAACATATTAAGTTATGGGGTAAATTTTAGAAGCCAGATGGGTTTGTAGATAAGACACTACCCAGAGATTTCGCCCTCATTTTGCGAGGACTTTATGATATGAGTTCTGGTTTCCTATAGGCGCAAGCCCCTATAGTTAATTACCCCTCCCACTAATGAGAGAGAACTTTCGATTAAGGTTAGTCGTCAATCAGATACATAAAAATACGTGTTATTTGGCATATAGTAGCAGCATGGGCATGGGTATTTGGAAATGTGAAGATTTTATATTTAAAATTGAAAATTTCGTCATCTTTCATTTAAAGCAGATGGTGGGGGAATGGATGATGGACCCGATCAAGATCCCATGGTTCCGTTGTCCCGGGCCATCGTGGTCCCTGGTCTACTTAGTCAGAGGGGGTAGTCGACCCAACCTAACAGAAGGATCCTTGTCCGTAGACATGGGTTGCTTCGTCAAGGATACCTTGTAAACCTGGGTGAATATTTGCCTGAGGGGATAAATTTGAATCCACCTTAGCTAACAGAGGGCTTTGTACCCTATCGATCATATCCTATTGATTTATATCTCAAAGATTTGATGTCACTAAGGAACGTCTTCCTGGACCATCTGTGGTGCCATTTGGCGGCAAAACCACTCGGTTCATAGGGCCCTATGTCATAAATATTTATCCAGCAGTATCATTTGGCGGCAAAACCGCCGGTTAGAGAACACGTACCACGCCCTTACTGGCAGGAAATTAGTTGAGAATGGATCCTAGTGATATTTTCGACTAGGCATTAGCCCTGTATGAGCTGAAGTAAATTTCACTTTGTCCACCCCAGCAAACTGTTGCGGGGAGTGAATGGATTTTTACTTTAAGTGATTGATAGATTATTTCAATTTTAAATATTTAGATTTTGGAATGATTTTTTTATTCTTTGGAGCTTTGAATTTTGTAGGTATTTGGGTGACATTATGAATTATTTGGAATGGACCCCTCCGGTTGAGATTTTTTATTCAACACGGCCATCATCGGGGTAACTTTGAGGTCACTTGAAAATGTTTGAAGTTTGTGAAAATTTGAGGGCATTTTGAAGTATTTGAAATTAACCCCTCCAGTTGAGATCGACATTCAACACGGCCATCATCGGAGTGTCTTTAAGGTCACTTGAAGATATTTAAATTTTGTGGAGGTTTGAGAGGGCATTTTGAAAGTGTTTGTCAACCTTGTTGACTACTATTTACCTACTTAGGAGGATCGAGTTCAAATTTATTGACCCGCGCAGCATCTCTAGACGTCATGTGTGTACCAATAACACGCTCGCCGAAACCCATGCGGGTGAATGATTTTATTGATGAATCTTTCTTATAAAGGGCCTTGAAGGCCTAATATGAATGTATAAAATAAATATTCCAATCAACCTCATGATCACATATTTATTTAATGTTTCGAACCATGTCGAGAATGATCAAGTTCAAACTTAGATTCATCATTTAGCCCACATAGCATCCCTAGACGTCACATGTATACCCATAACACGCTCGCCAGGGCTCATGCGGGTGAATAATTTTATCGATGAATCTTTCTCATAAAGGGCCTCAAAGGCCTAATATAAATGTATAAAATAAATATCCCGGTTGACATAATGACCGCATATTTATTTAATGGTTTGAACCGTGTCGAGAAGGATCGGGTTCGAACTTAGATTCATCATTTATCCCACGCAGCATCTCTAGACGTCACGTGTATACCCATAACACGCTCGCTGAGGCCATGCGGGTGTTTGGGGCATTTTGTAATTATTTACTGAACCTTGTCGACTCTTATCTACCTGCTTAGGAGGATCGGGTTCAAATTTATTGACTCACGTATCGTCGCGTGTATTTTTACAACACGCTCGCTGTGGCCCATGCAGGTGAATGATTGCACTTCCCCTATTTTGTGTACCTATGTGTATACATATTATAGTGCATGTGTGGGGGCATTGTAATAATATTTTTAAACTTCTTCTTCCCGCTTGCATGAATGTTGTGGATCCGGTGGCGCGACGTTATACTGTGGATTGTCCATTTCATACAGGTCGATTGTCGTGTACTACTTGTTGCTTTCTGCAGATGGATTGTAGTGCACTAACGAATCTCCTGCTTTTGCATAAGCTTGTAGGAACTTGCATTCGTTGCATTCTTTCTGCATTTCGTTGTGATTTTGTTCCTTACAATACATACATCCACTAATACTACAGATACAACATGTCATCTATGGGTAGATGCAGAAAGACTTCAGTAAATGTAGTATCTTGTAGTCAATTCTAGTCTACGGATGAATACATCCACTACTGCTGCAGGTAGATGTATTCATTCGCAGACTGGAATTGACTACAGGATATTGCATTTACTGAAGTCTTTCTGCATCTACCCATAGGTGGCATGTTGTACATACATCTGTATTCGTAGAGAGATTGTATGTATTGCAGATCTTTTACCCTTGCTTGCAAGGGATCCATCGCTCCTTACTTGCATACAATATGCAACATAAATTACGCCTGTTGCATTTGTTACATATCATTCTTGCTTCATCGATGAGCATCCCTACCAACATCATTACTTGTAGGGTCAAATGTATTTGCTTGTGTCTTGATGTGGATTGTAGGTCATAATTGCATTCTTTGCATATTAATCTTCAGCACTAGTAACGAACTGCAACTTTTATTCGCAAACTGGCTGAGGTTGACTGGAAGGACGTTGTAATGTCTGTTGTACGTGACATGGCGTGTATTTATGAATAACTTCTTAGATACACCTTGATGGATCAAGCTACTACTAAGGTGCTTCGTGCTCTACCTGTGATTAGATCATAATTCTCTCTTGATTGTCGTTGATTTCACTCGACTGGATAAGTGACTTGTACTTCTGCTTTTTCATTATTGAGGAATTTGACATGTCATAAAGACACCTCAGTAAGATAAAAATTTCAGTCATTTGAGACAAGCATCTTTGTTGCTTTGCCCCTAACTCCCCCCTAAGCTGCTTATCTTCTTGCAGGAGATGAAACTGGTTTTCCAAGTTGTCCAAATTAATATTCTTTGAGTGGGTAAGCGACTCATGCTCTTTTTGCATAACACACAATGAACTTTCAAGGTTCAAAATTTTGTTGACAGATAGATATTTTTCCTTCACTAGATCTAAATTTTAGCCTTCCAATGCGGCATGTGTGGTCTCTAGATTTGTAAGACTTTGTTGAATGCTCTCTAACTGAGAGATCAGATTATTCTTTTGAACAATGAGATCTGAGTTTGTATGAGAGAGAGATTGAAATGATTTTCCAAGTCTCTTAATTTTAAGCACAAACCTTCTAGTTCAACATTTGCATCATGAAGAAGAGCCGAAGGCCATCCGCATGCTCTGGGAGAAGAGACGCGAGAAAGGATGGTTCGACGCCGTTTACAGGATTTTTGGCAGGATTCGGCGCAGGATATGGGTATGGGCATGACAGGTAATGATTTTAGCCATTTTTTATAGGCATATTTTTGTTTCTTCTTCCCTGGCTATAGCTTAGAGGTCAACATATATATATATATATATATAGACACCACACATGCATAATATATACAGATACACACTAAATCATTATTGTTTGCTGACATACCATTTCTCCTTCTTGAATCTTTCTACAAGCAAACAGGCCCCATCCATGAATTCCAGATCTACCAAAACATACTCTACTTCTCTCAGTCGACTGAAAGAAAAGCAGCTGAATGTCAAACTATGAAATAGCATGTAATAATGGACGTACAAAGGGAAAAGAATAACCTGCAAATAACGAAGGTGCTCCCTGAATGTTGAAAACGATTTCTTCACATCCTGTTAAGGGACGCAAGAAACTTATTAAAAATCAAATCGACATGCTTTGACGGTTACGGACAAGGTCCCATCATCCAAATTTAAGTTAAACTAAATGCAACAGCAGTAACAGAAGAAATATACCTTAGATGCATTCAAGCATTCAATTTTATCTAAAGAATGATGCAGTGAACCTCTCACTTGGTGCGGGATGCCAAATTCTCTGTTTTGCTAAAAAAGTAAAAGACAAAAATATTGCGTTAATGATGTTAGAAGATTTATCTGACACATCAACGATCACAGAAAAAGTTAGAATAAAATATCATTTTTTTAATAGAAGGAAATTTGCCATATTTATGAAGTAGAGAATATTGCTATCCATTTAAAAGCTGCATACTAGAGTTGTTATGGTCTAAATGGCCCGTATTTGAAAACAAATAATGATACCGAATTTAATAATAACAAGTCAAACGATCAATAAAGTGTTCATAAATTGCTATAGAATTTCAATACCTATGCTATGGCTGAACAAACCTTTAATCCAATATCACGTGAAAATGCAATGGTGTGAATGATGAGCATAATTTAAAATAAAAATGGCTAAACATATCGTTTCAACTACCTATGATTGATGAGCACGATTTGAATGTCTAAGAACAAAATGACAGCTTAACTATAATCAATTCAACAGTAGTAATTTTATTTAACCAAACTGACAAAAAATAGAAACAGAATAAAACTGAGTTCTTCAACATAATCTTCATTAGCCTTCTCCCAACTATTTGGGATTGGTGAAAAAAAAAATTAGATTCCAAGTATATTTTCAATAAAAATTAGATTCCATCAAATATCAACTATATTTGATATTTTAAGAATTATCCTTTTCTTATTATAGAACGTTGAAATATATAATGTATTAAAGGAGAATTAGTATGATGAGTTTGCATATTAATGCAATGTGATGAAGGATGGTCCAAATATTAAGTGTCAAGTGAGAAAAAATTTTAGTTGAAGTGGATTCCACAGTGCCACATCATCTTTGCCAACTCACTTTGCCAAATGATCAAAGCCCAAGTCAAAGAAAACATGTCCAATCATTTTTTTGCAAATTCTAAAGTATTATTTTATCATCCAACAACTACATTCAATGGATTTAAATGTCTTTGAATTTTCAACATGGAGTTATGTAGTCAAATATAGGTTCTAAGGCGCATTTCTTGTAGAATGGCAACGTATCACCCGTCAGTCTTCGGAAGAGTCCAATGCTAGCGGCTTTGTCTTTTTTTTTTCTCCTTATTTTTCTAACCGCCGCTTCCCCATCTCTCTTTCTCCTATTGGCCGAAAACTCCACCCAAACCCTAGGCCAAAAGACACCCAACCGCCGGCCCAATCCCTTTCCCAAAGCCGTCGGCCATCATCCATCCCTTGGCTCCAAGATTCAAAATCTAGTATTCAAATCCTTTCCTAAATTAGCTCCCTTTAATTTTGGAAACTATTTAAATTCATATTCAATTGAATTTGAATTTGAATTTTACTTCCTAAATGAGGAAAACTATTTTAGGGAACTTGCTCAAATCATGCAATTTTGAATTTTAAATAAGAATTGATTTAAATCCACTTTCCTATTTTAAGATTCTAAATATAGCCACCTTTAACCCCTCATATCAATCACTCATGATCATGCTACCCGTCGACCCTACCCCCTGATGCGAACATCGGCACGAAGATCTGGCGCATCTATCACAGGAGGCGTCGTAAATCGACGGCTCTAATTTAAGTTGTAATTTATGAATTATTTTCTGCAATTTAGTTTCTATTTTATGTTATTTTCTATTTTACCCCTAGGTTAATTTATTTGAGTGTTGTAGCCATTCAACTTAATTTGGGTGATTTAATTTCGGGCAGTTTTCAAAAATTCAAACTCCACTAATTTGAAATTTGAACTCTTTCCTAATTTATCATTCAATTTTGGAAAGTTACTAAATGAATTTTATTTGAATGTCAAAGTCAAATAGGGTTTAATCATTATTTCCTATTCTCCCAATATTGCTTTTGGAAACTAATTTCAAATCCCGTTACATTGCCTCCAATAGATTTTTCCTAAGCTCTATTTCCTATTCTACTTCCTAAAACCAGAATTGGAATTTGGAAATAAAATTTTCCCACTTAATGCTATTCCCGTAACCCACCAATGCCAAACCTGTCACGGGATAATGCAAGTTGATTTCCCAATTTAATTTCCATTTAATTTTCCCTGTGGTCCCGCCGTTTCCCTCTTCTCCTAATTGCTCCAGCAAGAAATTTCCTTCACTCCAAAGCTTTACTCTTATTTCCTAAAATCAGAAATCATGTTTTGAAAATAAAATTCCCTCTTTTTCCTGTGACCCGTCTCTCCCCTCCCTCTCATAACCCCCCTCCTCCTTTACTTCCCTTTGCTGGAACTCCATAGCTCTTGCTGCAAGTCCTTCCTCCCCACACATAGAGTTGGGATTCCTTTCAGATTTCTGAAAGCAGAAAATCTGAAATATTTCAGATTCCATTAAGAAGAAATCCCCTCCTTTGCAACGCCTCCTTTTTTCCGTTCTACATCACCCCCCTTCCTATTACCTCTTTCCCTCCACTTTTCAAATTGATTATTGAAGGCATTCCTTATTCGATGCATCTTAAGTTTGGAAAGTTTTTAAATTCAAATTTAAATTAATTTGAATTTGAAATTCTTTCTTAAAATAGGATGAATTATATTAGGAGGCTTTTCTTAATTCTCTCAATTTGAATTTAATTAAAGACTTGTCATAATTCCCCTTTCCTTATCTTAATAATTCAAGTTTGAAAATTCCTTAAGTCCACATTCATCGTATGTGGACACATTCACCGTATGTGGACACATTCAACATATGTGGATGCCTTCTCTTTTTCCCCTCTTTTGGTCGACCCCCTCTGTTCTACATCAGCAGCCCAAACAAAACCAACCTACACCACTCCAAATTATTTGATATACCACAAGTTGCCTAAAATGGGCCTACCATAGCATAACTGCCTGAATAGAGGTCAAAAAATTGACAAAACTTTAATGTCAATATTTTAAAAAATGTGAATTTTCGGTATGGAAAGAGTGTCCTTCAGCAGGCCTACACAAAAAAGATGCCTTTTGCTCTCAACAGAGAAGCAGAAAGATCTAAATGAAAATGCCCAACAAGTTACATTAATATTTACACCAAACACACATGCATCAATCCAAGGAAATTCAAGTTGTTGACACGCAAATTAAAAAATTTGAAGCATAAAATAATACACAGCATTAGCTTCTAGAAGCACAAAAATGTGAAGAAAAAAAATAAAGGCATTCATTAATAGTATAATGGTACACCTGATTTTGCATCTTGTTATAAGCTATGCATCTTGCAGCATCTGAGGGGCTAGACTGATTGTTGGGTAACACTAAATTGAGGGGAGCATCTTTCTTAATTAACCGTGAGCCAGATTTCTTATCATTATTCTTGAGCAACTTTTTGCTAGAGAAGATACCAGAAGGCGTGTGTATAATCAAAACAGTGTCTGGGTTAGGTGCCCTGCACAGGAAATAGAAATCCCAATCAAATAAAGTCAGTTGAAGGATAATGGATGCTCAACGTCAATAATGACCATGCAATGGAAATAGATTCCCATTTTTATGTACGCTATAAAGCTGATTTGAACTTCAAGCATTCCATATGAACAATGGCAGCACAAAAACTTCAAAAAAGCCTTTCACTTCCGACAAACTCCAACACTTATCCAGCATGCTAAGAAATCATGACATATATTTTACTCCAAAACTAGAGTCAGAAACTGCCAAAACATGCCCCTACCTTTTATGTTTATATTATGTTCCTATGCCCTAGTCATGTCATTTTCATGTGTCCAGTGTCCATACTTCATAGACAGACATTTGAGAATTTGTGATACAGTAGTTATGCTTTTAATGTTTCCTATATGCATATCAAATGAAAGTACATTGGATACCAAAAGCAGGTACATCTATTAACCTTGGCAAGTGTATGTGAGAAAGAGAGAGAGAGAGAGAGAGAGAGAGAGAGAGAGTATTAGGGATAGAAAATTTTATAAGAGCCAATAAAAACAGATACTAATGGGTCAAAGGTAATAAAATAAAAGATAATAATACATCTATTTACCTGTGGAATGAACAAAATGATAGCTTTTTTGTTGTCTGTATTCCATTCTTCTCAAAGCAATGTAACTGCAATATAACGGCATGTGTCAAAAAGCTATGATTTCCAATTATTTTAAAAGTTTGAATGGTGATTTCAATTGATTTTAGATCAAATAAGATGATCAACGATCTGGATTTCTAGAATAGGATGCGAAAAGTGATTTGATCATCCTTCAGAGGTAAAATTTTCAGCAGCACAACATTTCAAAATGTCAAATTTTGTACTAATCAAAAGCATGATAAGAAGTACAGAGAATATTAACTGATATATTTGACAATACTATTTGCTATAGGAACTATTCTTCCTCTTGACTTGGAAATATTTAAATTTATTTTGTGATAACAAGGTACTTGCATTAGCCAGTAAAAGATGAAAAAGTACATTCCTGCTGCTGCTGTACAACTAAATATCTGTCGCTTGAAAACTGAATGGCAGCAATTTCGTAGAAGTTGAAGTTCTTTATTGGGTCGTATATATATATACACACACACTAAAACCAATTCTACCAATGAAAAGTAATTAGATCACTTCCACTTCCAGCTTCCAGGTTTATTATGCAACTCAAAGCATTATCTAATCTTCCTATCTGACCATCCTCATAGTCCATGAATAGGGCTGGGCAAGGGCTCAATGATTTACCAAAGCAAGTGACATGGCAATGATTTTGCTCTGGCTTTAAAACACTCAACAGACTTTAGTACCCACACATGGGCCTTCGCAAAAAATGTAAGCACTTCATAGAGTTTGATTAGGGGGCTAAATTAGAACCATACAAGCCACCTCATCACACGACATTTAAAAAAAAAAGTAAATCTTAATATACTTGAATTCAAGTCGTGGATTGAGGCAAGGCAATAAATGAAAAGGATTTATTATTAGGTGTGGGTAACACATACGCATACAACCAATTAAGATGTTATATATAGTTATTTTGCATGTATTATCTGTGTACTCCCACATGCCAATAATGATTTCTCTGAACAATAGGGAGCATGCCGCGCCCTCCCACTATATCATCAATCAAAAACAAGGAAGCATAATATTCATATACTGCCCATTTATAAAATTGTCAAATCTTGCATATAATGTAGGGTGTAGAAGACAAAAAGAGGTGTAAATACAAAATAATCATAGTGAAGAAGAGATGAATTAAGAACATAAGAAGAGAGGTGCATGAGATTGGACAGAAAAAAAAAAATCAAATTATGAGAGAAGGGGACTGCAACTCATGTTCAGCCTTGTTGAGCTTAGTATGGCATCCCAAAAGAATAGCCAACAAAGAGAGAGAGAGAGAGAGAGAGAGAGAGAGAGAGAGAGAGCTCATGCTTTCTTCATTTACAGCTGAATGCCTACTAGAAATAAAAATAGAGATAATTTTATGGACAATCTAATCCTAATAAAATTGACAAAATGGCACACCTGTTCAAATGACTAATTTACAAGAGGTATTCGGTTATATTGACATCAAGTCATCAACAAATCAAGATTGATAACTGAAATGTGTATCTCACACTGTGCAAATCCCGTGGCTAGTAGAGAATTCTATATTGGAGAGTATAAAGGCTGTTGGGGGAATACCCACAACTCCACAAGTCCTTAACTCTATCAACTAGTTAGTGAAATCCATTACAAAGGAAATCCACCGAAGAAGATAGGGATGAATGGGAAGTCAACCATGAGGGCAATGTAACAAAGGGGAGAATAACACCATCAACATATCAATAGAAGGTTCTCTCTGTAAATACTCAAGAACATTATCATTAAACTTGGATGAATATTTATGAAGGTTTGCAGGCCTTTTGTTAGGCATACTCTACTTAACTAAATTGATTAAAACGTCAACTTTTTTCCTTTCTTTAGCGCTTATGAGTAGGCAGCTTGGGTTAATGGGATCAAACCGGTTGGGTTAGCATTATCAGGTTAATTGGATTAGATTAAAGGGTTCAGTTTCATTGATCCATTTAAGGTGGGTTTGTCGAATTGCATCGATTGAGGTTAACCCATTTACGAAGAGTTTAGTCTACTAGGGGTTGCTAAACTCTTTTTTTTATAGCAAGATTTCATACTCAGTAAATAAAAAAGTACAAGATCGAACAATTGTGAAGAATTCTTAAAACAACTTACATCAACAAGGTATAAGAGACCATCTAATGATAAGACAAGAACCCAAGAGACTCATATAAAATATCTTGTTTGAAGTATGATAATACTTAGTATATGAAGATATATTTTCTTTATATTTATGATTCTTCTAGCAAAGAGTATTTGAAACATTTGTCAATTTGATCTTCAACACAAAAATGCTAACATCGGAATCATCAAATTGTCAAGCTGAAATACCAATATGCCCAATAGCACAATGATCAAGAGAAGTTAAAATATCATATGGATCCAGATCATTGATTTTGTATGTAGATTAGGTGCCAACCAGCTCCAAGGGACTAAGGGCACAAGGAAAGGCTCTTATACCATGACAATATTTAAAACAAGTTCAAAACTTTTTAAGACACTAGACTAGAAGTAGTTGGGACTGCAACCACAACAATTGAATGCGAGGTATGCTCATCTGAATGCTATCCACCATCCTGATTGCCAGGATCAATAGCAGATGAATTCTGTAATTCAAGATTGAAGCAACTAGTGAAGTTATGACCAAAATTTTTACAAGAAGAATAGTATGGAGGAATGACTTAAAATTCTACCTTCTACCAAAAACCAAAATTAATGAAATCAATCCAAATCTCCTTCTCCAATGAGATAGTGACATTGATTTCTACCAAGACCTAGCCACTGAAGACCTAGAAAGCTTAGTTGTCATAACATCGACTTGAAGTGATTTTGCAAAAAATTATCTAAGAGAAAACATAGTGGGTTGATTAAAATAATAAATTTGAAGTCGACGAAAAGCAACCCAAATAGGAGCAAGTAGTTTCTCTATACAACAAAATGAGGAGACCGCTTAACATCCTCAACAAAAAAGCATTCACGTTGTATAATCTCCTTTTAAAAAAGAACGGAGTATAAGAATATAAAGGGAATCAAGAAGCCCGACAGAAAATCAATCTCAAATCAGAAATTCGAATAATCTCAAGATTACGAAGGCCCCAAAAAACTTGCCAAAAATACTGAACGAGAAAGAGAAAGAAGATGCCAACTCAAAATATCTCATTATTTTTAAGGGCTGATTTACCGTGAAAAATGGCAGGCAGCTTATGTTGAATTGGAAAAGAACCTTGCTGAAAACATATGAATAAACACAGATGAAGCAAGATGAAGTTCCATCTTCCCACTAATAGCCTCAGCGAAATAACGAGGAACATATGCAGGAGGAAAATCCATAGCAACCGATTTCGTAGGAGAGGTACGGGGATTCATCACAATGCCGATCACCAGCAGTGCACGTCGCTGGGTGAGTGGATGCGGGAAAACCCGACATAAGCGGCTGGACCGCTGCCCTAGATGGCGACTAGAGCGCCAAAGGAGCAAGCCAAGAGTGTAAAAGTAACTGGATGCTGGCGCCAGGCATCGACATCAGAAAATGGACTGAACATGGCCGAAACTGGCGCAAGAGACTACGCGTGGGAGAGCACATTAAACGCGCGAGTGGCAAGCGCCTCGTGCGATGGCTGGGGCCTACATCACCCCCACACATTGGCAAATTATTAGGCCGGAGTCTGATGTGATCAGAGACCAATAAAAATTTGTCACGTTATCTTAAAAATATATTGTGTTCGGTATCGAGATCGGTACCGCTCGGTACTGAACTCGGTACTGCTCGGTACTGAACTCGGTACCGCTCGATACTGAGCGTAACTGGACGGTTCTCCCATCCGGTGTCCGCACAGAATTCATCTGCTATTGATTTTTCAACCATTGGGTGAACAAGTTCAATTGTGTTGGTTGGGCTTGATTAGGTCAAGCTAAAGGTAGGCCACTTGGTTTGAATTGGATTTAGGTGGAGAAGGAAGGATAAATAAGCTTCTTTGTTTTTTAAATATCTATTTAAGAGAGTTTTCTCACTACTTTATTTTTAGATTCCTATCATACTAGTTTTTTGTTCCAGTTTTTTAATTATTTTAAAAAAATTTGTGATAAAATTTTATTTTTTACAATAAGTTAAACTATAATATCATAGTAATTATAAGAAAATTAATATTCAATTTTTTTTTAAAAAAAAAGCTATGATGCTAAATAATTAAAAAATATATATCCTACAATAACTTTATAATCACTTTTACAAAAAACTACAGTCATCATAAAACGAACCTTAAATGAGAGGCTCAATTATGTGGACATGACTAGGGTGTCGGATGTTTAGGTGTGCATATGGAGATAACAAAGGGATATATCAATCATTGTTTAAAATTGTGCAATATAAGGCTCGCCTTGAGGCCCGCCTCAACGCAATTCCAATGAAGAACGCATTGAAGCATACGCCTTAAACTTTTTTTTATGAGGCTTACGCCTCAGTTTGGTTGAGGCCCATCTTGAGGCACGTCACACCTCGCTGATGTAAGGCTTACGTCTCACCCTAATTATATATTTTTTTATTAAAACTTACATAAATCCTAAATTAAAGCCTAAAAAAATCACGCTTTAATGCACCCTCAAGCTATAACAACTTCCTCTCGATTGCATTGACCTCCAACCCTCTTTTTTCTCCATGGTCAACATCATCATAGCCGCCAAGGAGACAAGGATCACTTGAAACTCGCACACTACCACCACTTCCTCCAAAAATTTTGGGTATGAATCTCATCTTTATATTAATAAAAAAATATTTATGAAAGAGGAAGATGACTGGAATAAACAAAGAAAAAGTAAATTGGGAGACATTAAACTCCATAGGATGAGAGAGGGGAGAGATCAATTTATTGTTATGATGACAACTCAAATAAAAACCTCTTTAGTAATGACAGTGCAGATGAAATCTAAGTTTTTGTCAATTATTTTAGTTTTCTTAAGGAATTTAATGTGGATGAGAGGGAACTGAAAATGAAGGAATTTGGAGTTGAACTTGATATTA